GTATTTCGTCAATATCCCTCCAGATCTCATAACAGGTCGCGGTATTTCATCAACATCCTTCCAGCCATGACATATCAACTTTAAGTACATGTAGTGTAGGCGATGTTTAGTCAGAGGTAAATGTTATCATGTTGTTAAAATCGTTCATTAATGTTTCGTCCACATCGTAGAGTGTGTACAACATCCAGAGAAGTTTTATATTGTGGTACGTTAAAGTAGTTACAGGGAGGATGTTGCCAAGGTTAGGTTAAGTTCAGGGAGGAATATAAGTTCTCCATATTCGTTAATAATCATTACTAGTTTACATAAGTAATCAAAGTCACTATCTCTGTACAGTCTATACAATAGTTAAGTGGAGAACCATATGTGAATCTTCTCGTGAAAGCAGATAAAACAGTTATATAAGACAATGTTACTTTTCCCTTATTATCTAACCAGGCCCTAACGACCAAGGTTTTTCACGGGCTTTTGGTTAATGTATCTACACAAAAAAGATAACATTTGTCTTTTTTTACCCCCCCCCCCCAGACACACACTTACATTATGTGTATAAATGCATAAAATGAAAAAGTTCTCATGCTGTACCGCTCTTTAGGCTTAAGGTCCTCCTGACAGACACAATGGCTAATTTACATATTAGATTGACGGCGTCTTGGCGCAGAACCAGACCGGCTACTGGGAGTAAAACACCCAACAATAACAAACAGTCCAGTCCCTCAGGAGTCCCTTAAAGTAAGTCTTTGTAATACTACGGAACATCATGGTGAAGACCTGATGAGAGAGAGAGAGAGAGAGAGATATTGTATGACTTTAACACACAAACGATGCCTAAAGTAAATTTACCAATGCAAATATTGAAACACACACACACACGTCATTCACCTTCAATACTACTTCACTCTCTCCAATAACAATGAAATAACACTTTATCGTCTCAATTTTAACAAGTTACTAAGTACCCACAAATGCCTTGGGAGCATAATAATTGTTCTTATCGTATTAGACTCGAGTATAATAGTGCCTGCCATGGTTGGTGTTAAAACACAGTGACCGGAAAGAAATCAGAGCAGAAAAGGCGGGACAAATGTCAAGGGAAATAAAGTCATATTTCAATTTAAGTGAACTAAATAATGTAATGAAGAGCATTATTGTGCTAGTTTTGCATTAGGTAGGGTAGGGTAGAGTAGGGTAGGGTAGGGTAGGGTAGGGATAGGGTGGGTTGGGGAGGGGGTGGGGTAGGGTGGGGTAGGAGTAGGGATGGGTTGGAGTAGGGTGGGGTAGGGTGGGATGGGTGGGGTAGGGATGGGTTGGGTGGGGTAGGGAGTGGGGTAGGGGTAGGGTAGGGGTAGGGATGGGGGGTAGGGTGGGGTGGGGATGAGTGGGATAGTGGGTGGGGTAGGGTGGGGAGTGGGGTGGGGTAGGGATGGGAGGGTGAGGGATAGGGAGAGGGTGGGGTGGGGTGGGGTAGGGATGGGTTGGGTAGGGTAGGGTAGGGTAGGGGGGTAGGGTGGGAGTAGGGTAGAGGGATGGGTAGTAGAGTAGGGATAGGGCATGGGTTGGATAGGCTATATCGTGTTTGCAAATATTTTTCCGCTCTGTGTGCGCGTGTGGGTGTGTGTATATGTAAAATATTTATATATATATATATATATATATATATATATATATATATATATATATATATATATATATATATATATATATATATATATATATATTGCTGATACACTAATTTGCATAGGTGAAATAATGGTACCGTGCCTTGATTGCTATATATATCCCGGCCCATGATAATGATGATGATGATAATTATGATGAAGAACGAACCACCGATCAATAAGTAACTTCCAAAGTCACTTCAAGATCCCACTAATGACCCTCATCACCAACCATCACAATATATTTCAAAACATTATGAAAAAAAAAAGATTCTCCGTTTCATAACATCTTCTCGGGCGAGATAATATATTTTTAACACTACACCATAGAGTCTTTAGGTGAACCAGGCAGCCGTATAGTGACTCGTTACTGTAAGTCTTAGGGGAAATATGTATAACTTTCCAGATGGTTGAGAAAATGAGGTATTGTAGACTACCTTTATAGATACGCTCTCAGGTGATCTCTCTATTAGGTTAGGTTAGGTTATGGGATGATGGATTAAGTTAGGTTACGGAATGATGGGTAGAGCTATTGTTGTTCTATATACGAGTATATCTGCCATCAACGTCATAACCCCGACTTGGTTCAACAACAATAACAACAAATAACCATAGGATGTAATTTTATTATTGCCATGAAAATATTTCTCTTTTCTGTGAATTTCACGGAAAGTAAAAACATTTTTATTTGCGCCTAAAAAGAGACATCAGTAATGGAACACGGCCGGCAAATATAGGCGAATAAAATGCAATATCACAACACAATACAAAGGCTTGGAAAATAGAGGTATTTCAGCAGTATGTATAATGGAAGGTCTATGTTGGTCTCGTTGTTGGTTTTTTTGGAAGTTCTTATAAAAATTTACAGAACATAAGAACGTTTCCCTCCCTCTCTCTCAAGCCCTTCACTGGACCACTCAGCTGTTGGTTGTGGATAATACTAAAACAGTCACACACACACACACACACACACACACACACACACACACACACAAGGACGCCAGTAAGTCCAGCTGCTCCACCAAGTAATGATCTCAAATCTCATAAAAGTCTGTGAAGGATGATCCTTCACTTTCTCCATCATTTACCATAACAACGTTAGTGAAGCGACGAGTGAGTGACCCAGACCTCCCCCTTCCCTTCCTCCTTCCCCCGTCTCTCCCTGGTACAACAGTAACAGCAACAATAACAACGGCACTGACAATAACAACAGTAACAGCAACAATAACAACGGCACTGACAATAACAACAGTAACAGCAACAATAACAACGGCACTGACAATAACAACAGCAACAATAACAATAACGGCACTGACAATAACATCAGTAACACCAACAATAACAACGGCACTGACAATAACAACAGTAACAGCAACAATAACAACGGCACTGACAATAACAACAGTAACAGCAACAATAACAACGGCACTGACAATAACAACAGCAACAATAACAATAACGGCACTGACAATAACATCAGTAACACCAACAATAACAACGGCACTGACAACAACAGTAACAGCAACAACACCACCAACAACGGTCACAGTGATTACATTACCATTTTATCCGAAAGGTGGATGGTGAACTCTTGTAGTATTAACACCAACCAAGTTAAGGATTTTCAGTGTCACCCACTTACTGTATAGAGGGACCCAGTGTGATGCATTCTGGCCAATCTGTGCTTGATGAGCTGTATCCTCTCCACTCCTTCTCCCCTACCTAGCCGCCCCTTCCTTATCCTTCCTTCCTCCCACTACCCCTTTCTTCCCTCCTCTCCTTCCCCCTCCTCCCACCTTCTATCCTCGTCTCTTTCCTCATTTCCCCTTCTATTGACTGGTTTGATAAGCCAGTCAAGATAAAACCAAGAATGTTTGGAACTTTTGACCGCGTGTGGGAAATTCACAGTTTGTGATTGGTGCAGCTGCTCATGGAGAACTGTGGTGTCAATTTCCTTAAAAACACACACAAAAAAACAAAGCACTCGTGTTGGCAACCTCGATCTCATAGTGGTAATAAAGAGTTTACTTATTGTTGTCTCTGGTGGGCAGCGGGGCGATGATGGTGGCAGTGTTGGTGCGGGCGAGTGTGAGTAACATTACACCGACTCACAACACCACCACCACACCCTCTGCAGCCTCAGCGTTAAAGTGGCAGTAGACGAGGTTCGTTAGGCAGAAGCCGCGGAACAGAAATACTCCCCCACACCACACCCGTTGTGGCAAGGCTGGTGAAAATAACACATACCAGTAAACATCCGACAGCTCGGGTTTGGCTGACCTGGGTGTAGTGACGAACTCGTCGAATATGTTGGATAAGGAATGACATTATTTAAAAGTAGAGGGAAGGGAGGGGAGACTACTGTACCCATCACAGCCACGGAGGGATTTCAAAACGAAGGCTTGTCTGAGGGTATGTTGGTGTGCTCTCGTAGATAATGTACAAGGATATTGGATTTCTGAACACGAGAATGTATAATTTGGATTTACAGGCGTATGTTATTGGAGGTGAATAAGATAGTGTATGTTTATGCGTGCGTGAGTGAGTCTGACAGTGTGAAAGGTCACATAAATTGGTGGTGGTGGTGATGGTGGTGGTAGAGATGGTGGTGGTGTTGGAGGTGGTGGTGGTGGTGGTAGAGATGGTGGTGGTAGAGGTGGTGGTGGTGGTAGAGATGGTGGTGGTAGAGGTGGTGGTGGTAGAGATGGTGGTGGTGATGGAGGTGGTGGTGGTGGAGGTGGTGGTGGTGGTGGTAGTGGTGGGGGTGGTGGTAAAGATGATGGTGGTGGTGGTAGAGATGGTGGTGAGAGTGGTAGGCCTCACCGTGAGAGGTGTAACACACGGTGGTAGTGTTAAGTAGGGACCGCCGCAGTACACCCTCCTCCTCCACATTTTTTCCTTGTTCATCTATTAATTTTAGTTTATTATTGTATTGTCAACATGGTCCAGGTTCTCTCAACTGATAATTTCGTATTATCTTAACTGTCCTTGTTATTATCAATCTGTTCATAAAGTCTTACAAATAACTCAATTCATATCTTATACAGCCACACAGGTTTTGTGCACCAACTAGATTCATTCATCTGTTGAAAACATTGGGACCAATGAACATAATGACATTAACAATAACAGTTTAGATAATTGACAGTAGTGGTGGTGGTTACTGTGGTGTGGGGCGTAATGGTTGTATGTGGGCGCGTGCTGGATGTGTGTAGGCGTGGGGAGTGATGGGTGTTCTATAATGCCATAGATGTACATAGGCGTGGGTGACATGTAGAGCCGTGAGTGTAGAGGAATGGGAACACATGCAGATTCCCACGGTGATAATAACCCCAGCAGTATAAAGGTGAGAGAGGAAGGATGTGTACCATCAGTTGACCTGCAGGATGACACCCAAGCTGTTCACACTGCTGGTACTGGCCGGCGTGGTCAGCTTCGTCGCTGGTGAGTAAAATTAAAACTGAAAACATTTTATACAGTTGACCTGCATGATCAAGTTAAGTCATTTAGCAGTAACATCAATAACTGTCTTTGTATGTAGACACGAGAGTAACACAAACAGTGCTACACCATGTGAGCTGAACTGTGTAATAGAATCAGTCTATCAAGATAAACTCGATCATAACAACAAAGGTAATAGTGTTCACATTATCCCAAAAGGTTAAGTTGATCTGTGTGATGATTCCCTTTGATGATAATTATTATATGAAACGAAATATTAAGATAAAAGCTTCTTTAAATTTTAGATTATGTGAACTCTTTGTTTAATTGGACAACAGAACACTCTTCCTAAACTATAAACACTGGTGTGTACACTTATCTAGAGAGCCACAGGCGTCGTATTGCTTACGTTAGCCATTACGAAGATTTTGGTGCGGTCATGTTTTTCATAAGATTGACCAGCATCAAGGAAGAAGGTAAGATAGAGCTGCCTTAGGTTTTAACGCTTAGTTCTTTCGTAACCAAGAAACTGTTTCGAGACAGACAGAAAAGGTTCAGAACCACTGGTTCAATCTATTTTTTTTTCTCTTTCAGCCTCTCTTCGCTCACATCTACTGTTCTAAAACAATCTCTTCCTCTTACATTTTCCACCCATACTGGCTCTGCCTCTTCCTTCTTCCATCACTATTTTCTCCATTCGTAAGTTAAATGTCCTCCTTTAAATGGTCGACTTTACCCTCTCAGGCCAGGACTGCTTCCCCCCTTACGTGAAGTTGGGTGGACAGTGTGTGTTTGTGGAGTATGACACTCAGAAGTCGTGGCAGGAGGCTCGGGAGTTTTGCGCCTCCCTGGCTGGTGACGGTACGGCCGGCGACCTGGCCACATTCCCGACCTGCGACGAATATACAACCTTCGTCAGATACCTCGCCTTGAATGGTAGGTCTTAACAGGGGATATAAGAGTGTAAATGTACATACATTCAGTACATAATAAGGATTAATGGAGAAATAGTCTCTGGTTAAGATATTATTGCCGATAAAACTAGAACCAATAGTCAACAGTCGACACAGGAGCACAGTACATTTGGTCAGTTGCTTCTCAGGACAAAAACTGTTACAAATGGAAGATGAGGATATATAGCTGTTGTTCCTGGCCTCGTGCCTCCACAGTACCGGTCAACACGACGGTGTGGGTGGGAGCTCACTCACTCTTCACACCAAACATGTGGCAGTGGTTGACGGAGGAGAGCCTACAAACGGGGGTACCCTTCTGGGCCTACCCTGAGGAATATAACGGCACCGAGAACTGCGCCGCCGCCTCTGGCAGTTACTACTACAGGCTGGTGGACGCCCACTGTGACCTCACTAAGTTAGTTCAACACTTGACAATTTTATCAAGTTTATTATTGCTTTCAAAATGTTCATATGCTTTATATAATGTTCTCTTAAGACCACAACTACTACCAACAATTATTAACCTACCATTTACATACAACCACTGCCACTATTCCTTACAACCAACCCTATTACCACTGTTCTTTTATATACTATAATCTACCACTAACTCTACTTCGACCACAACCACCACCATTCACACATCCACTTTTACCACGATTACGACCACCACCACCATGACTACGACAACCACCACCACCACCACCACCACCACCATGACTACGACGACCACCACCATGACTACGACGACAACGACGACGACCACCACCACCACCACCATTTTTCCCTACTAATATCCTTCTCACTCTCCTTCAGGGGCTTTGTCTGCGCCACACTACCGAAAGAACGCAAGAAGAAAACCGAATACACAGCAAAAGACTATTGGAGCTGCCCGCACCACAGTGTCTTGGTGAGAGGCCGTGATTGGCTGGCTTACATGTGTACACAACAATAACACACCACAAATAGGATGAAAATACAGTGAGGCATTATTTAATTACCTTCCACCGCACCATGAAAACACCTGAAGATTAAACGCCCTAACCTAACTTAACCTAATACTAACCTAACCTAACCAAGTCAGATTTACGCCTTCAACATGGGATGCGGTGGACGAGTGGATATAGTTAGGCGAGTGAATTCGGCCAATAGCGGAACCAGCTACACTGTCTCCCTGTGTACAGATTGAATGATTTACACTTAACGTAAACTGATCAGCAATGGACGTGGAGATGGTGTTAGCAGGTGTTAATAGCGAGGAGGAGAGGGAGCAACTCCACTGTTTCTATAGTGGAGAGAGAGAGAGAGAGAGAGAGAGAGAGAGAGAGAGAGAGAGAGAGAGAGAGAGAGAGAGAGAGAGAGAGAGACAATAACAGTAATTGCAGCTTCTCGCTCTATACATCCTCTGACGGTCGCCCAACAGATCGGCAACAACTGCTACGTGTTTGAGGATCACGTAGAATCTTGGGAACGAGCTGAACAGAAGTGTCGTGAAGAACACGATCACTACGCTGGTCTCCTCTACTACCCCAGCAGCTGTGAGGAGTTTACCCACATGGCGCATCACCTCGAGGCTGACGGTGAGTGTCCTGGAGTGTCAAGGTGTCGAACAAAGATATTGATGAATGATCTTGCGTTTATATCTTGAAGCAAAGTTCATAGTCAAGCAACTCATGTTAATACGTCAGCTAAATCTCTAATCTTTTTCAGCAACACTTCAGTTATAATAACCATCTATTGTTATTGTCCATGATCCTTCCTATAGCTGTCAACCTTTCCTGGAATTACAACATTTATCAACACTGTAAAAAATTTATCTAAACATCGGAAGATTTTTTCCAGGGTTCGTCTATATTTACTTCAGAAAAAGTCTTTTCCACTACAGCTTCCACTTCCGACCTACAGTAAGTTAATGTACAGTTAGTTTATATGTATGCTAATGTTCGCCCACAGAGAGACGGAAGCAGTACTGGGTGGGAGGGATTGATGTGTCAGGGAAGGAGGAGTGGACGTGGGTGGAGGGTGGGATAATACCCAGCGGCCCCCCTTATTGGGCGTCCGGGGAGCCCAGTCACCAGCATGACAACCGGCCCAGGAAACACTGCACTATTATGGACCCGAGTATGCGATACTACCTGCGTGACGAACACTGCAATGACTATCATCCCTACATCTGCAAGTTGACCAAGGTGTAGTAGACGACAGTGGCCCTCCTGGATTACCTGTAATGGTGCCTCTACAAGCTTTAATGGCGCATCTACAAGCTTAAATGGTGCCTCCACACGCTATAATGGTGCCTCTACAAACTTTAATGGTGCCTCTACCCCAGCCTCCTCTACCATCCTAGAGTCAACCGCCTTTGCCAAATAATGTCTTATATATATTTGAGCAACACCTTGTGATACTCCCGCCCCCATCACTTATGAATGGGAGGCTGAGAATGACTGCACAAACAATTAGGACGGAATATTCTAACAAACTTAAATAACAGTATTCTGAATCTAAGTGTGTTCAGTCATGGCGGCTCCTGTAAGCTAGATAACGCTATTCTCTCAGATTATATATATATATATATATATATATATATATATATATATATATATATATATATATATATATATATATATATATATATATATATATATATATATAATACTAAATAGGGTTAAATGCATATTTGTGATAACTTCTATGTTTTTTTTTTACTTGTGACTGGCTGTAGACGATCATGTAAATTATTAATGTCATATAAACCTTTAAGTAATCTAACCTGTCTTTGTCTCACTTAACCTATTTTAGGTATAATCCTATGATGGTAAATGTCGTCATAAATGAAACAGAACAAATTTTACCACAGAGCTTAATCGGTGATGATCCCTATTTAGAGTAACATATATACAGTATACAGTATATACCTTTGGGTGTCTTTGTCTAAAACAAATAACGTATTGTATAACCAATGTGTGTTACCAGTGTTGACTTACAACACAGCGGTTGGCGGCAAACATGGTGAGGGAAAACACAACACAGTGACTCATTAAAGTGTTCACTAACTCCTGTAATGTTAATACCAACATCACCATCATAACTATAAGTTGTTGGTACAAGAGAGTTAGTTGATATACTCGCCAACAACAGTCCTGTCGCCCCACCTGCTGCCTCTTCGTGAACCCAGAGATTCAGAGACCTGTGATGTCTCGCGGGTCTCTAAAACAAGAACTTATGGAGCTGTTATTACTGGCATACGTTTCACTGATGAGAACTTATAAATGTTTGACACAACCAACAGGTGAATGCACCAAGCCTATTGATCTTTCATAGTTCAGAAAAAATAATACTCCAAAAATTGTAACCTAATGGGTGATCATGGGTGTCGTGGATGGGTGGTCATGGGTGTCGTGGGTCTGGTGTCGTGGATGGGTGGTCATGGGTCTGAGTGGAAAAGCTTCTCCTGATTAACCTGAACTGTCTTCATCCTTGAGACCAATTTAACCCTCGCTGGTAATTACTGTAATGACTACCACTGCATTACCCTCATTAATTATCATGTCAAACTAGAATTTTTTTAATATGTTAAGGGTTAGTCTGGTGCCACGGGAGGATGTTACAGGAAGAACTGTATGTGATTGTAGTGGCTGTAATGACTGTAGTCTCTTGTGAATTCGTTTATTGTTTGGGCGAGTGATGAGGCAAGGAACTCGTGACCCTCCCCCCCCCCCACCAAGCTGGCACCACAGGACTGACAAACTGACAATGCCATACAGTTAAAGAGGCTGTGTGCCACGTCCTGATGATATGTCTTAACGAGCAGAGTTGATGGAGGCTTTCAGTGAGCTTCCTGAAGTCAGTGACTTTAAGAGCTGTGTGTGGCCAAGATGTTTTGGGGTCATGTTTTGGTTACATCAGGGGGCTAGAGTCTCTACATCTCTTCCTGGGTCTGTACACAGCCTGACTTTCACATAGTCTGAGAAGAATGTCACTCTTACTAAACTCATGACATACACGGCCTATGCTCTTTATTTTATTTTATTATATTATGTGATTATATTATCTGAAATTCTGGATAGAAGGCTGAGGAAGAAGACGAAGAGGAAGAAAGAAGAGGAGGAAGAGGCGGCGGCTTGAGTTTTCTCCAATTTTTATCCAGAGAGAGAATGTAAATTGAGTTTGGGCGGTGGTAATGCTGAGGAGAATATTCAACAGGGAGTGATGTATTGTCTGGCTGAGGGAGGGAGAACCTGCCAGGGTCTTCAGGTTAGGCAAGACACAGCTCACAGTTATGTACATAATATTTATCTACTTGTTGACATTTTTCTTCAGCAAAATTCCATCGTTGTGTGTGTGTGTGTGTGTGTGTGTGTGTGTGTGTGTGTGTGTGTGTGTGTGTGTGTGTGTGTGTGTGTGTGTGTGTGTGTGTGTGTGTAAGCAAGTAAGTGTGTGTGTGTGTAACAGTAATAATTCAAGAAGTATTAGAACGGACACAAGGACGTTAAAGTAGCAGTGGCAGCAGCCTCGGTGTTGTGGTGTTGGGTGTCTCTCTGGCCACACACACATACACTGACGTAGCCACAGTTCTCTCTCCTATCCCTTCATTCTCTCCTACCTTCTCAGTATCATTCCGTTTTTTCTTTTAATTTCCTCTTTTCTGTTCTTTTATTCTAAGTTTCAACGCCTGATCTCTCTTTCAACTTCACTTCACATCTGAGACTCTTACCAGACACAACCAAAAATGTCTTTCATACACACTAAGTTCATCCCTAGTCAAAACAAACCAACCTTGAGGCTTCCAGACGAGTCCCTCCCTCCTTCCCTTGTCTCAATATCTCACTGCTGGCGAGGCTTAGTGAAATCCCAGTGACGCCTCCCAAGAGATATGTCCACAGGTGACATTCCTTCGTCCACACCGGAAACAGGAAGGAAGGAAGGAAGGAAGGAAGGAATTTATGCTAAAAATCCCCCAATATATTACGATCTTTTAAAAATTTGACTCCTAAACTTCGATAGTTCTTTACATATGAGATAAATTTATGAACCGATAAGGACAGGTCTGGGGTCTAATGCTGTGGCTTTATGTGTGCATAAATTTAAGGACAAAATATTCGTTAAACAGTAGGTAGTAAGTTTATGATTGTTTATGTGTGATATATTCTGTGATCTCTCCCCTTAATACTTATTTTACGGTGTTTGTTGTTTCAGGGTTTTAAGGTGTTTGTTGTTTTAGGGTTTTAAAGTGTTTGTTGTTTTAGGGTTTTAAGGTGTTTGTTGTTTTAGGGTTTTAAGGTGTTTGTTGTTTTACGGTTTTAAGGTGTCCTCACCACCACAAACTTACCTTAACTTCCACACAGTGTTTTCTTGTCTTTGAAATCTTTGAACATTTTTGTGAGGTTGTTTGCTCTCTCTCTCTCTCTCTCTCTCTTCTTGCTACACGAAAATGGAACGTCAAAGTTAGTTTTTCTTCCCAAGTTGGTTGATCTGCCTGGGAGGAAAAATTTCTTACTTTTATAACAGAAGTTCCTGAATATATTTTGATTTCCTTTAATGTTTTGTCTAATTTTTTCCTAGGTTAAGTAGTGAGACACACACACACACACACACACACACACACACACACACACACACACACAACACGACTGTAAATATATAATCACATCAGCCAATCCGTAGTGAGGCTGAAGATTAAATACAAATATAATCAACTTTAACCATTCTGTTTGAACCCCAGGGATAAAGGTCGCACAGTTCACCTCTCTTATGTTACCTTTATGTTATTATTATTATTATTATGATTATTGTTATTTTTATTTTATATGATGTATCATTTTTTCTTCTGTCTATCTGTCTGTCTGTCTGTCTGTTTGTCTGTCTGTCTGTCTGTCTGTCTGTCTGTCTGTGTGAATACAAGTCTTGCACACCAAGTTTGATCGTTTGATATGGAGTTAAACGCTTGGTTAGCCTGTAAAAATTTCCATACCACGAAAACATGTAAATGATTGTTGGGTAACTTTGCTTGTAGATTCTTACCTAATACCCACCTTCCCCCTCACCTACTCATCCTCTCCCCTCCTAATCCTCCTTTCCCCTCCTCCTCCTCCTCCTCCTCCTATCTTCCTCCTCTCACCCTGTTCATCCTCCTCACCCGCCCTACATCCCTCCAATCTATCCCTCCAGCCATCCATGTCGTCCCAACGCCGCTACAAGGCTCACAAGAACAGCATCAATACGTAGATTCCATTGTTGGCCTAAAACCTATAGGGGTCATTACACCTAAGCTGAAAGCACGCCCCCTGTCGCCTCACAATGGAAGATGGACGGGGAGGAGGGGATCGAACCTTGTCATTCATTCACATTCAGGCAGCGAGTGGAAGGTGTAGATTGGAGGGAGAAGGTGGAGGGGGGTTACGAGTGACAGGAGAGGGACTTGGGGAGTGGGAGTGGGATACAAAAAGGGCCGGGTTGTCTCTTGGATAGTTAAGGAATGAAGACCCAAACTATTTCTCAAAGTTAGAGAGGAAGGAGATACTAAGAGAGAGAGAGAGTAGAATATAATACGTTGTATTAGGTTAGGTTAGGGTGTTTAATCTTCAGGTGATCTCCAATACGATGCAGACTCAAGTGTACAGTAGGTCGTAACTAAAGGTCATCAATTGGCGGATTATTGGCCCAGTGCTGAGATAAAGTGACACACAACATCTTTATGGTTCATTATTGACCATCATGGAGGAGATAGTCTCTTTAATGACCCAGAGATGAGACAGTAAATAGAAGATTGCTTTTTCCTTCCTGGCGGAGAAATAGTGTCTGTGAGATAGCATATGGACGGAGATCAAGAGACAATGTGTGTGTGTGTGTGTCATGTCCAGGGGTGATATAAACAATGAGTCAGTTAGTCAGTCTGTTGACGAAACAAATCCTGAAATAAGAAGTGATAGGGGGGAGAGTGAGAGGAGGAAGGTAGGGAGAGAGGAAGGTAGGGAGAATAGGAAGGAGAGGAGGGAAGAGTAGGAAGGAGAGAAAGGAAGAGTAGGAAGGAGAGAAAGAGGTTATAGGAAAGGAAAACGTCTTAAGAAGCTCAGTGTAGAGGAGGACGTAGGGAGAAGAGGAGAAGGAGGAGGAGGAGGATAGTAAAGGAGGATGAAAAAGGGAGTGTGATGGAGAAGGAGGACAAGTTCGGGGCCTGCTATAAGGAGGAAGGCACTCATCCACCATCATCCTGACAAAGACGACCTGTGACACATCCTTACGACCAACAGCACCGTGTGTCTCGCTGACCAGGAACCAACACTCTACCTGGTCACACTCCCCTCCCTTCTTCCGTCCCTATCTCCCTCTCTCCTTTCTACCCCCTTCTCTCCTTCCGTCTCTCTCTCTCCAGCCCTTTCTCCTACCCTCCTTCATTCCCTCCCTTTCTACCCTTCCTCCCTTTTCTCCCTCCCTCCCTTCCTACCCTCTCTCCCTCCCTCCCTTCCTACCCGTCACAGTGGTAGTAAACTCTCACGTGACCTTTAAGACGTACACTCCCTGACACCATCA